GATTTGAATAATTTAAAATTGATTACGATGTTCTATAAGAATATGAAATACACTTAATATTTTTTTAATCTTCCGAAAATTTAATTTCCACAATAATTGTAATATATTTTCGTATAATTATGAAAAATAATTATATGCAATTCTTATACTACGATATTCAATTTTACTTCATTTAGTCATTATTGATTTTACATACATTTTACAATACATGTAAAATCAATTATATATTTTCGTTATCCACTAGACTAATAACATTTGTTACAAATTCAACGTTTATACATATAGTAAATTACTTACCTGAATCTTATTCTTGTTAAGAATTGAACAAGCAATTATTAATTAACATAAAAATTTCTGGTTAAATTAAAATAAAATTAAATTAAATTTCTTAATTATGTATCAATATTATTTTTTTAAAATATATTGTTATTATTATATAAATACAAATATATTACATATCTTAAATTGAGCTACTGTGTCAATTCAGTTGAATAATATATGTATGTATATGTGTGTATAAATAAAAAAATTAAATGTATTTAGAAAAAGTATAAAATCTTTATTTTAAACGAAGAAATGTATTATATTACTTGATATTATAATAAGGACAAATATAACTACGATAGATATTTCATATTATACAGCAGAAATCTTAAAAAATATCTGTGTAACAATTGGATCATAATTTAATATATAAATGTAATTAATAAATAAATTTAATTAATACAAATCTTATGTTTCATATTTATGCCCATTAATACTTATAGTACCACTTCATAATACCTAATAAAACCTTAAAATCAATCAACCATTTTGTACTACTATAAATATCCATTTGATCCAATTATTATTTAATTGAATATTTAAGACTTTTGGTATAAAGGAGTTGTTAATAATTTACTATACTTCATACCTTGAAAGAATTAATTATCATCTATAAATATAAATTTATTAAGACATAAATTTAATGTATTTGTTAAAACTCATTTTATAACAAAAATATAGTAGAACTAAATAAGCAATCGTATTACAATGTTAATTTATTAATAAGAAATAAAATTTATAATGAATATATACCATCTTTAAATATTATTAAATATCATTAAATAATTAAATTATCATTGTATATTAAATGTATAAAAGCAAATAATTAAAAAATATTTTTAGGAAGGCAATTGTATATTTTTAATATAGAAAATAAATTTAATATTAAATTTAATAATTAATGTAAAATATTAAACTGTAATTTTTTTTTAATTGATACATACAGAAGTTATTAATACAGTACTGTATCAATATCTTCTTTTACATCTTTTTATAATAATTTAAAACTTGAATCAAATAAATTTTAGTCCATAGTTATGATAAATAAAATTTATTTCTGATAAAATAAGCTTAATGAAGAAGCTTTTATTGCCTCACCAAATATTCACTATCTAAAATAATACCAATCTCAACATATAAATTTTCTAAACTAGCATTAGACATACCAATCAATAAATATATCAAAATATATCTATGTCTGTACTTTATTACATAAAAATGATAAATAATATACATATACAAAATAGTTTTAAATATACAAAATTTAATTTGTAATCTTTAAGCTATCAATTATCTTTCAAACATATTAAAAGACAATTTAATTCATTTTTATTCTTTTGTTATAATAACCATTTTGACAATTCTTCAAATTTAGATAGTCTTTTGTGAATTTTATCTTAAGAAAAAGTCATTAACTTTATATTTTTCAACAATATTTGTTTTTGGAGATGTATAAATTTGGTTTGTTAAATATAATACGCACATATTTCTTCACATAATTAAAATATAAATAAATTATATAATATACAAACAAACGTATAATTCTCTACAAATATATTTAATTTATTTAATTAGAAAAATGAATTTTCTAATTTTAAGATACAGAGAACATAATATATAGTATTTCAGACTAAATTGAAATCAGATTTTATAAGATTTCAAAGAATTATCATAACACTAAAAATTAATTGTAGTTTCTTAAATGCATTCAAATATAATTAAAACAATTAACATTTTATAAAATTCCTGTAATTGTTAAAATATATATATCTCAATATTAACTGGCAATTTTATTAATAGAATTTTCTTTTCATATCCTATTCATTGTAATTATATAATCCGAATCATTATAAAAAATACATCATTTTTTGTTTTGTGAAATAAATAGTTGAATATTGATAAGTAATTATTATAAAATTATAGAATTAAAATAATATAGCAATATAATATATATTAGCATCTAAGATATATATATTAGTAATAACATTATAATTTAAGTATTTATAATAATTTTATAAAATATAAAATTATTATATTTATTTACCTTTGTCTATTTTCTAAATATAATTATTAAGCATCATAAGAATCCTCTTCAATTTTCAAATATATAGTAACTAAATTTAAATATAACCATGATTCTTTATAAAATTAAACATTTCTTATATTATTCCTTCTCATACAGCTCCATTTATAAAAATACTATAATAAATATTGTATTGATTAAAGAGTCTAAATTAAATTTAATATTAATAATATAGTCAATAAAGAACTGTATAAAGTTTGAAAACATTAATTTTATTTAATATATTGACATTAAACAAATTAAAAGATACCTATAATATATTATTTAAATTTTTGAAACTTTAAAGTTATGCTTGAAATAAATAAATAAGCTAAAAAAAATTGTATATAAAAAAAACTAGTTAAATATATTATTATAATACAAAATTTTAAATAAATATCAGATCCATTCATAATATTCAGTCATCATGTAGTTTGGCCACCAATGACAAAGTAACGCTATTGATTAGAAAGAGTTACTTTCCGTTTCTGTATTTCGGTATAAGGAATACTTATCAATAGAAAAAACTGGGGTTTTCTCAGGTATATCCACAAGTTAGATAACAAAATGAAGATTTCATAAATAAAGGCTGACTTTGCTAAAGGTTACATTACACTTGGTAAAACAAGCAAATTAATAAATGAGAAGAATATTCAAAATATATTTATTTTACAAAATTTTTTTTTAATGAAAAAAAAAGAAAAATTGTTTAATATATTTTGACAATAAAATATACGCCTTTGCAAAAATACAAAATATTACTACGAAATAAATTTTTAGAATAATTAAATATATATATAATAAAAATTTGTATTTTAAAGATCATATCCACTATAAAAAATTTCATTTCTGCATAGCATATTCAACTTGGTTTGTATAGATTTTACAAAAAATATAAAACAATTTTTTCTTCTATATATACATAATGAAATATATAAATTAATTATTATTCATATGATTCATATTATTCATATAATTGTTACTGTCAGTAATAATTTGTCAATGCAATCACTATATTCCATCATTTTTCATAGCATATAAAATTGTCTTGGTTATGTACCATTTTATTTCACATAAATTCCTTTCATTTAGATAAATTTATTCATTATATTTCCTTACCTTATTTATAAATATATATTATTTCACATTTTAATAATAAACATATTTTATATCATAAATTTTTAAATTATAAAATTATAATAGTATGTATATTGTTTTAAGTTTACTTTAATTCATTATAATACAACATATTTTCTGAGAAAAATTTTTAGTTTACTAAAAAATTTTTTAAAAATAAATATCTTTATTTTTTTCTTAAGGAGATTGTGTTTAATATGATGCATTTCTTTTTTTTTAGTATTTTATAATGGATTATAATTCTTTCTGTTAAATTAAACATATTTTTAAATCTTTCTTGAAGCTTTTAAAGAAAACTAATTATTTTTAAAAGCATTTTTAACATTTGTATCATATTAGTTTTTGTTTCAAATAAATTTTACATGAATATTTTAATTAATCATATATTCAGTAATATTGTATTATTGTTAATAATTGTTGGGATATTCTGGAAAAATTTATTCTATATATATATAAATATCTATAAATTTTCTTTTGTATCTCAAATTAATTTTTATAAAATTGTGGTATAACTATTTTATTATTAATAATTGGAATTTTTATGTGTTAAATAATAAATAATTCTTTCAATTATATATAATTAGTTACAAATAGGAAGACCATGCAATAGAGAAATAGATACTTTAGAACTGAACTTAAAAATTCTTCAGAACCATAAAATACATTAGAATACAACTTTTAATAAAACTTTATAAAATAGAGTTTTTGAAAGTAAAATAATTAATATAGTATTTTATTTATAGAAAAATAAGTTTATATTATTTGGGATAATAGAAGAGCCGAATTTTGTAGGAATAAGGAAATAATAGAAATCTTGAAAATACAATTCATTGTAAATAATAATTGTAATTCACTACCGTAACAATTTACTTATAATTATTTTGTCATATGTAATGTCTTAAAATACAAAATAAAAATATATTTAAATTTCAGAATTTATCAATAAAAATATTGACAAATTTTTCGAAAATGTATGCTTCATCATAATTTATCATTATATATTAATCAATAAATCGAAGATAATATATTTTTGTATAGAATAGAAAGTTTAATCGTTGCTTTGATTGTCAATTATAATAAATTGCAATTTAATTTCATTTGTTTTATTAAATTTTTTATTTTAATCTATTAAGAAACTATAACTTATATATTTAACGCCTGGAAAATAGTCGATTAAATTTAATTTCTTTAAAAATTTAATTTAATTAAATTTAAATTGAATTAAGATTTCATTTTTATACAATAATTTGATATAATATATTTCATTTTCCTATTTATATTATAGTATTATATATCTAATTATAAATTTTATTTTATGAGTGTTACTTTATTATTAAAAAATTTATGGTCAATAATTTGAAAAGCTATATTGTATCGCCATTTTATTCAAACGTTAAGTTGTTCAACCTGGTCTTGCATGGTTAGCGTTTGTAATTCTATTTCTTCTATTTGTACGTTAACTTGTGCATAATTTGCTTTCCTGAAATTTTCCATTTCGCGATTGTGCGTCATTTCTATATTGACGTTCGTTTATATTTGCACTTGAAAACTTTCAAAGAATATTTTATAGTATAATAATTTTTTCTTTTAAATTATATTTAAATATTAAAAAATAATTTTTTATTTAGAATAACTGTAAATTCTAGCACGTTGAAAATGGGAGAAGACTTTAATGGAGGTAAGCAGATTGAAAGACTGAATCTTGGATAAATATTCCGTTGCGTCTCCTATTTTTTCGACATGCATACACCGCAAGAATAAATTTTTAACAATGATGGCCGCGTTCTCTCGTTTATATATTACAATTAATTTGTAATATATTCCTGATATAAAATAAATAGACTATTTTTCATTTTTCATATTTAGTTTGATTTCATTTTACACTGAACAATAACCTTAAAGACAAATATAATTTGGTATTATATGATTTTATATTAATCTTTGATCCCGTTTTATTTTTAGAATCTTATATAGCTATAATAATAATTGAGTTATTATTTTGTTTTCTAACTTACCTGGTATTTGAACATTAATATTAGTATATGTAAAATAAGATTGCATTTTAAACTATTGTGCTGCATTAATTTATTATTAATAATTTTTATAAACTATCGACTTTCTATATTTTTATGATGAATTAATATCTAATTTTATTGTTCTAAATATATTTTTAATTTATACTTTTTTCTATCTGCATATTTTAATTTTTTGCATGTAGAATGTCCTATTATAAATTTATAATTTAATATATTCCGTATAAAAAATAATTTTAATCTCTTAATTTTCATAATTCAATGAATTGACTTTTCTCGTTGATTAGTTTTTCTATATAATGGGAAATAGATATTTCTAACTTAAAATATTTTTAGTTGTGTTTCAAACTATTTTTATATTTAATTATAATATATTCTAATTTAATATATTCTTTTTAATATTTAATTTGTTATAAACGTGTATCATTTGCAGATATATTAAATATTTATAAAATTTATATCTTTTATTATTTCCTATTCTTTACAAAATTACATAAATTTCTTCATGGAGTAATAGATTCAATTTTTATTTTAATAATTTTTTTATTGTTACATGTATGATTATTATAAACAATAATATAATTATGATTTTTATTTTAGACTAGCAATTGGTATGGTTTATATTTCTTAAATAAAACTAAATAAACGAAACTTTGTATATTACATTGATTTTTTAAATATGTATATATGTATGTGCATTATAGAAAATATAACAATATTTATACAAATAAATTTAACATAAGCATATGTAAAAATACTAAAAATTATTGAGCAAAAAAAAATTTTAATATATTTATTTACTTTATACCATTTGATTATATTGGATTTAAAACATGTAAATTTTTAAAAAATATACAATTTTTTCTGTGATTATAAAATTTGTGTTCAATATTTTGTTAATCTTTTATAAAATTAATTCATTTAAATCTCTGTTATATCAATGCTAATATTAATTTATTAATTAATATTTTATATTTTAAGTATCTGTATTTATACAAAATCTTGTGTTATTTCATTATATTTACTGTTTCAGTAAAAATAAAACATTCATTTCCAAATAAGTTTTTTTTTTATCTAGTCAAAATTCTAAATAAAAAATTAAATACCTAATTAATACCTTATGACCTAATTTTATTAGACTTTAAATAAATAAATATGAAAAGTATTTGAAATTTTAATATACCTTATAAAATAAGGTAATGTTTCTTTGGTATAATGATTACTTATCTAGTAATGATTAAAAATTTATTTAAAATTTATTTATGCATAAAGAAATATATTTTTAAGGTATTAATTACATTTATTAAACGCTGTCTTTCATAGATCGTGAGCGACAAGAACGTGGAGATAGAGATAGAGATCGTGATAAAGATAGAGATAGAGATAGAGATAGAGATCGTGGAGATAGAGATAGGGATAGGGATCGTGGGGACAGAGATCGAGACAGAAGGCACAGATCACGAAGTAGAGAACGTAGAAAACGCTCACGATCACGAAGTAAGGAACGTAGATCTAGAGATCGCAAGAGAAGTGGTTCACCTAAAAGAAGTCGTAATTCAAGAAGACGAAAACCTTCTCTCTATTGGGATGTACCACCACCAGGATTTGAGCATATTACTCCCTTACAGGTATATGATTAAAAATCTTTTTCGCACATAATCTTAATACTGTGATGTATAATTATAATTATTTTAGTATAAAGCTATGCAAGCTGCTGGTCAAATTCCTGCTAATATTGTAGCTGACACACCACAAGCTGCAGTACCTGTTGTAGGGAGTACAATTACACGTCAAGCAAGGAGATTATACGTTGGGAATATACCTTTTGGAATAACTGAAGAGGAAATGATGGAATTTTTTAATCAACAAATGCATCTCTCTGGTTTAGCTCAAGCAGCTGGAAATCCAGTACTAGCATGTCAAATAAATCTTGATAAAAATTTTGCTTTTCTAGAGGTAACTTATCATACTAGAATTTATTAATACTAATGTAAACTAAATGAACTAAAAAAAATGTATTTTCTTCAGTTTCGATCAATAGATGAAACAACACAAGCAATGGCATTTGATGGTATTAATTTCAAAGGACAAAATTTGAAAATTAGAAGACCACATGATTATCAACCAATGCCTGGAATGACAGATAATCCTAGTATGAATGTTCCAGGTACGGTTCCTGGTATGTGTAAAACATACTTTAAAAAAATATTTGGTTATTAAATTTTTCCTTTTTTATATTTTTTCTACAATTAACATTTAAATAAGAAACAGTATAACAAAAAATAGTGTATTAAATTCAAATTCTTATTCTATTTTTTTGTTAATTACAAAAAGAATTGTAATTTATTCTATTCAAATATTTTTAAATATTTTTCTTTTAAAACTTACAATTAAGGTGAAATAAATTATAAATGTAAATCCATTTATTAAAATAACATAAATATATTTTTTACACAAAATTTAGATTGAAATCAATATTACATGAAATTTTAAATATTTCTTTTATAGTGCAATTTCAGTGAAAATTTTATTTGTATCATACTTTGTGACAATGAAATTTGTTTTACGTTTCTAATTAAAATTTCGATTTTGTTTCCAGATTCACCCCACAAGATCTTTATTGGTGGTTTACCAAACTACTTGAATGAAGAGCAGGTATGTATGCAATATTTATTATTTTTATTTTCTTTTATGGTACTTCTTTGAACGCAATTTTTGTTCATTGACGCGCATTTCGCTCGCTTTATGAGTGCCCTTCAAATGTTGCGAGCGAAGCTGCATCAAAATATGAGAGAATAGCGTTTTTGTAACATAAAAATTACAATTATGGTAGTGCTCATCAGCAATTGACTTGCTACAATACTTTTATGGCTTAGACCATTTTCTAAACCAAAAATATGACCTTTCTACCACAAAAAAACCCATAAGTATTTAGCTATTTAGCTCGCTGACTTTCATCCACGAAGCTGCTAAAGCTCAATGTTCATGGAGGTATGTATCAGTTTTCATCAGATTCCAGCGTCGAATAGGACACAGCTCAGCTAGATTAAAGAATCGAAACGTTTATATTCTGAAATTCTAATTTCGCGATTATTAATCGATTACGGAAGGTACTAATACAGGGACGTAGTTGCTACAAACGATATTCATGGTGTTCTTTTGAATACATTTTAATTTATTCAATTATTTAATATATCAAATACGCGCTCGTATTAATATTTTGTATATTATAAAAAAATGTAAATTCCAGTTTTTGTTATTAAAATCATTTTGAAATAAGATATATTATTTTTTTAGTTATTTTTGTAACTATAATATCGGTTTAGACTAATTTTATAGCTAATTTATATTTTTAATAAAAAAATTTTATTCGAACATTGCAATATACACACGCTTTAAAATAAAATTTGTAAAATCATTGATTTTTTATAATTAAATAAAAATATTTTCAATTTCAGTAAATATAATATTAATAACATTTATATATAGTATTAACTTTTGATAAATTAATCAGATAGACATAAATTTATATTAATTTATACTTTTAAATAAATTAAAAGATAAAAATTTTGTTATGATTCTTATTAATAAAAAAAAAATTTATTGTGTCATTAACACCATGAACACGGTTTAGAGACGTTACAGCTTTAATATACGACGCGGAGCATTGACAATGAAGAGAAAGTTCTTTTTCAGCCTTTTCTAGGCTCATCGTGGATTCGACCGACATCGTGAAAAATACATATAAAAATCTTACGATGAATATAGAAGAGATTAGTATAAATTTGGATAGTAAATTTTATATAATTAATATAATCCATAAAATATAATTACGAATTCATAAATTTATACTAAATAGTTTTTAGTTTAATAATTTATAATAACTTTTCAATGAAAATTGAAAAATTAAATATATTATAATTTTTTATTACCACTTTAAAATGAATATTTTTAAATTAAATTTAAAAACGTTATTGAAGCAATATAACACATTTTTTCATTCAACACGAGGGTTAAGTTTAGTTCATTTATTATCAAATTTTTTTAATATTTATTATTTATTAACTTAGCTTCGAATTTCATAGTGTACTTATTTGTAATTGACTAAAGATATTATGTTACTATTTGTGCATATTTTAAATTAGTTATCCTTAATAAGAAACAATATGAAAGTAACATTCATACAAAATAATTCGATCCAAGTTGTTCTGATCTCTTCTATAAATTAGTTACACGCTTTTTTAGGATAAAAAGAGGAAATGGTACAAACCGAAACACGTATGAAACGGGAGAGCGGGTTTGTGTTTTACAGGCAAAAAGTATGATTCATTCTCGGACAGCGCGAGTTTTCCTCTCCTCCTCTACAATTTCATAAAAAGTTGAGCGAGTTGAATGGAACTCCGCACTGTTTTTGGAAATGTCGTACCTGCTGCTGGAGAGCAAACAAGGGAAACCGAGAGAATGCATACAACAATGTATTTTTATTTAGGTAAAACTGCGAGACACGACAGTCTGTTTCAGGTTTTTAAATTAAAAAAAGAAATTTCTAGGAACACCGAGAGAGACAGAATGTATTTCCCTTTTTGCAGCTGTTTTCTTTCCAGGCTTACTTTTTCAGGCTCCGTTTTCGAGATTACCTTCTTATCATTCACCTTTACAGGGTTACGCGAATGAGAAATCAAACAAACAAAAAGTCCGGTTTCAATAAATTCACAGAGAGAAAGTGTTTCCAAGAGAAAACTATTTTCAAGATAAACGAATTATCAGTGATAAATTATAAACAAGTAAAAGACAAAGAAAAGTTTCGCGTTAAATCGTTTGTTTTGTTTGAAACAAATAAATAAATTATGTATCAGTATTCCCTTTCTCCCAATTTCTTAGCTTAGGGTCGCGCCGATCAAAAGCATTTGCTTACCACTACTTCTACCACTACTACCACTACTACTACTGAACATGACAAAAATCCACACTGCCTGGAGAGAGGCTTATGCAGTCCCTCGAGGCAAGTACTTAAACTCATTCTCTCACCTTTCCTCGCTTGGGGAAGAAATTAAAAACGAAAAAGACAAATGTACCGATTTTGCAGCTCTTTCGTTTTGGGAGACGAGATCTTCAGATTTGCGTGAGTTAAGACGTTTATTATAGCGTTAGAGCGGTACATATATGTATATATGATTAATTCATCGATAAGGGCAAGTTGCTAAAATATATTAAAAAATTTTTTTTTATATATTATTTTTAAGCAACCTGCTATTACTTATCGTATGAAAGAGTTTTCAGGATCTAAGACTATCATAGTGGGTTCGTAAGTATTATTAAGTGATAATTTTGTGACTTCTAATAAAGGGAACTTAGTACATTTGTACATAGCGAAATGAGTATATACAGCTTGATAATAGAGGAAAATATTAAACTCATGTTTAAATTTCTTATTTACTTGGATAATTATTAAAACGCGAATTTAAGAAAATTATATAATGAAAATAGGATACTGACGAAAAATAAGCTAGGAAAAACTTACAGTAATTTAAACCTGTTTCAATATTTTATACAGCTTTTATATATAACATGATGTTAAACTTGGTTTCATTTTGATTTCCGGTCCAAGGCAGTGACGCAGTCACACTGAGAAAAGAATTTATTTATACAGTTAATAAATATATGGAGTATAAAGCGTGAAATTCAGTATTTAATTTTTATTTCATTGATAATGAATTGTATAGATAAATGTATATACATAATCGTCTTGTATATATATATATATATATATATATATGTGTGTGTGTGTGTGTATACATATATGTATGTACGGATTGTTTGATAAATTTAAATTTATAACTATTCAATTATAAACTTTATCAATAAATCGTATTTTAAAGTTAAAGTAAAAACTAATTAGAGTAAAAAAATTACGTTCTTTTATCAATTAAATGTTTTAATCACTATTTTATTAAATATTGAAATAAAAATATGAAAGGTTATATTCAAAAGATAAATGATAAATTATTTTAATATTACAAAAGTTAAAAAATTAATATAGATAACTTGATTTTATAAGATTAATGAATAGTTTTAACATATAATTTTAAAAAATCATGACTTTGTGATAAAAGATTTTTTCATGGTAGTATATAATTCTTTGCATATAAACAATATTCATGTTTAATAATTGTTAAGTAAAAAATAGGTAAAAAAATTTAAGAAAAGTGTTTGTTATTAACTTAATTGAATTCATAGTCAAAAAAATTTTTATCGATAAGCATATATACAAAATATAAACATAAAATGCTTTATTGCTTAAAAATAAAATAAAATATTTAAATTTTTTACTTATAGGAAATATGGTATATTAAATTAAAATATTATTAATAATTGATTATATATTATTATTAAATACAACAGAAGAGATAAAAAAGCCTAATGAAACTGTACATATAAATTAAGTTATAAATAAGTTTTTAATTTGTTTCAAAATTATTACTTATTATTGTAGAATTGATATTAATTTAATGGATTTATCAAATAACTCAAATACATCCCTCAACGCGTATAAAAAAATTATTATTCAATTAAAAACTTGTAGTTATTTTCAAATTGCTAGATGTATTTATGCAACTATAAAAATAACTAATTAAGATTATTGGAATAACTTAATAAAACCAAACTTTTTATTTCACTATATATACATACATATTTATTAATAATTGATTATATAATTAATCTTGTAAAGGATATGTGAAATATCATTGATACTTAATGTTAAATTTATCTTCTTAAGAAATATAATATTAACTAAAACATACCTTATAAGATATTAAGTTTTGTATTCCAGTTATATTTATAGCACTTAAATATTTACATTTATAAATAAATAATATATAAAATAAATACAATGAAATGTTTTATGATGTGAAACTTTAAAAAATATAATTATTATAAAATAGTAAATGTTTATAAATTTTTTAAAATACCAATTAAATAGATATCTCACGTATACTTGATTTTAAGTAAACTCTCATCTCGGTGTAATTACGCTATTTAATATAAATTTAGTATTAAAATTGATCAAATATAATGTACAGGTAAAGGAGCTATTGATGAGCTTTGGACAACTTCGTGCATTCAATCTTGTTAAGGACTCTGCAACAGGTTTGTCCAAAGGTTATGCATTCTGCGAGTATGTCGATGTATCTATGACTGATCAAGCGATTGCTGGTCTCAATGGTATGCAACTTGGAGATAAGAAATTAATTGTTCAACGTGCAAGTGTTGGAGCAAAGAATCCAATGATTGGTACACAAGCACCTGTGCAAATCCAAGTGCCAGGATTATCCATGGTGGGAACAAGTGGGCCTGCGACTGAAGTAATTAAATCATTTTATTGATGCTTATTTATTAGTTTTTTTTTAAAAGAGAGTAGTATATTTAATATTGACAAAATTAAACGTTTTTCTTAATTAACGATAATTTTCGTTATTTGTTTGTAAAAATAAATAACATATATGTAATTACTCTAAAAATCTTATATAAATAAATAATAGCAATTTGAAAGCTTTAATAAATATTAGAATTTTTAAATTTGATATCTAATTTGTGATAGTATTAATATAATTTAAAGGGCTTTAAATAAGTACTGACTTTATAAATGTATTGGCTAATATTAAAAATATATATTTTTTAGGTATTATGTTTATTAAATATGGTTACACCAGAAGAATTAATGGAAGAAGAAGAATATGAGGATATTCTTGAAGATATTAAAGAAGAATGCAATAAGTATGGAGTTGTCCGATCTGTAGAAATACCAAGACCTATTGAAGGTGTCGATGTGCCAGGATGCGGAAAGGTTAGTATAATTTTTATTGTGACTGCAGTGAATTACTGAAAAAATGTATTAAAAAATATAATTTAATGAAATATTAATTGTATTTTTATAATGTGACGAAATTTTTTTTTAGGTATTTGTGGAATTTAATAGTGTTCTCGACTGTCAAAAAGCTCAGCAAACTTTAACGGGTCGAAAGTTTAATAATCGTGTTGTAGTTACATCATATTTCGATTCAGACAAGTATCATCGTAGAGAATTTTAATACTACAAATTTTAAATTCATTTTTTATTGATTTGCATAAATGTAAAGGGACATTTTCTTCTTCATAATATGACATTAAACAGTTCTATTGTAACGTAACTGAATACTGTTAATTTTTACATACCCTGTCGCTTACGAATTAAAAATTTATTTTATCATCAAATAAAAATAAAATAAAATGGATGTGATTATGTTATTAATTGCCTGTATCTGTATAACTGAAATCGCTATTTAATATGAATTAATATCTATTAAAATTGAAAAATAATAAATGCAACAAATATGTTTGTATACATAAAAAATACATTATATTTTGTTATCAATTTGAATGAATTCAGAAATAAATAATTTACAATTCTAATTATAAAATATATATTATTTAAGCCTATTATTTTTAATTTAAAAAATCATTTATACGTCATCTTGCATTGCAGGCTGATATGAAGATGCTTCATTTATTTCAATTGAGTCAATCATTAATTTCTTAAGAATAAGATATAGTCCACCACCTATTATTAACATACTCAAGCCTGAAATCATAGCAATAGACCATGCTGGAATTGCTGTACCGTCTAAAAAAAGAATAGTTTACATAATATTTCTAATTATATTTTTATGTAAATTTATTCTTTTATCAAATGTTACTCACTATAATATCTTCGCGTTATATTTTTACGTCCTCGTAAAATTTTTCGTCTAGCTTCGCTTTCATTTAAGAAAATTCCAATAATTACTATAAAAATATATTTTATTATTTTATTAGATAAATTTATTGATAAAATATATGCAATTAAATTTTTAATAAATTGGTAATTATATAAATTCAAAGTACTATATTTTATTACAGAAACAATTTTATTTAAACAAAATTCATGTTTTAGTAGTGTTAATATTAATTTTTTGTACTCCTTCAAGACCCTAATATTTATAATATGAATAAATAGTATTTACATGATTGTTTATATAAAAATTTCTATAGTGCTTACATTTTAATCTCCAAAATTGAATTGATTCGAAAAACACGTAAAATATCAAATTAAAAATGGAATTTTAAACAGATTCTATTATAAAAATACTTACAAAATCCAATGGCTAAATAATATAGAATATTTCTAGAACTCATTTTTAATTTTTAAGTTCACTTACAAGCTAGGCTAAACACCTGGTAATCACTGGTATAACTGAACTGGGCGAGTCTTATCTTGCCCAAGTGTTTTGTGATTCCACAACCAACAGATAAGGCTTCTTTAAGATAACAGGTATTATATTACAAATCTTATCTCATATGACACATCTAGATATTTTCTTTGACGTTGCTACATAGTAAAAGATCGTTATAGCAATTTATTTTTTACTAAATTGCCTATAGTACTTCATAATTACATATTAAAAAGTTAATTTTAGTTTTTTATAATATGAAAAAGCTTTATATGGTAAAAAATCTGTAATGAATTATTGTAGTGAAATATCAAAATGTTAATTTTTTAAAAAGGTAAAATTAAAATAATTATCGAACTATTTAAAATATAAAAATAATATATTCTTTCAAGTATATATTTAGAAAATATTTCTTGAATTCATCTTAAAAATTCGTATTAGATTGAAATAGTTAACGATAAATAATAATGTTTATTTTGCAAAGTGCATATTCTTAAAAATATAGTACAGGCATATTCGCATCAAATATTAACATTTAAGATTATTAATTTTTTAATAATACTGACAAATTCCATAGTTTATAAAATTATTGTGTCTATAAAATAAAATCATTTTGAAGTCACTAACACTCGATCCTTTTATTTTTACTTGATTACTAATTCATTTACTCCACATTTAAAAAATAATTATAGTATTTTTATATTGTCTTTAAATTTTAATTAAATAAATTATAATAACTTTATGTGTGAAATAAATGAGAATTCAAAATTTATAATAAATTTCTGATTGTTATTACATATTAATTATCTTTTAGTATGGTAGATTAATAATTCAAATTAATATATTTAAAAAAATATTCTTTATTGTATCTTCTTAACGTGCAACAAATAATATACAATTTTGTATTTTAAATAAAAAAGATTCCATATATTGTTATTTTAATCTAAATTAAAATAAAGTTCAGAAATTTAGAATATACGTTAATATATTACAAACAATTTTCAATGACGAGTAGTTCAGTGGACTGGGGTTTCAGGGGAAGTAGGATACCTGTACAAAAAAAAATAAAATTATATATTTGAACATAAAAATTTTTATTTATAAAAACTAATAATAAAAACAATAAAATAAAATAACAGTTAATCATATAATATTTAATATCAATGTAGTCGAATGATACAAAAATTTATTTGATATAACTATCACTTATTTATTCTTATATTTTATGTTGCAATTATTACCAAAGATAAAATGCAATAGTAAGATAAATATAAAAAGCTAATATATGTACAAATATTTTAAATATAACAGCATTTTGTCCTTTTGTCTTTTCTAAGTTTTTTTTTCATTCACACCCTTATAATCATGTTTTTGTGTATTTTTTTAGTTATCTGGTACTTTATATTCTCTCTCCCCTTTCCTTTACTTTATCAATATCATTCACTCCAATTCCTTTTTTTTATAATAATGTATAATGATTTATAGAAACATTTAAACCAATAAAAAGGTCAACTTTTAGGAAAAAGTTTCTAAACTTAATATTAATATCTATTTCATGAACAAATTTGTTACCAACATACTACTAAACATTAACATGTTTATTTATTGATAAATCGATGTTATTAAGTATGGTTTTTTTTAATATGTCATCTTGCAACTGATACGATTGACCACTTAATTAAGAACAGATGTAAAAATACATTTTTTGTCCTAATATGAATTAAAATAAGTTTTAATGCTAATACATATTAAAATAAGTGTTAAAATAATTATACTACTTTTTTTAGAAGTATAATTATATACTTTAGGGAATTACAAAATAATTTAAGGAGTTTAATTTGTTTTAGATTATGCTTTAATAAAGAATTTTAATGAGTTTATATAATTAATAAATAATTAAATAATTTCTAATTAAAAAAAAATTTAATTTGATCATATGGAAAATAAATTCAAAAATATATCTCCATAATCACTGAGATAATTATTTATATATTTCCCTTTAAAATATTACCACAAATTACAATTGAAGTATTAATGAATTTAAATTACCGTTTTCGCTAATTCACTCATGATACAAACTTAATAATAGCTTATCGCGAAGTAATAGCATTTATTATGAATATTTTTTCATATAATACAAATACCTAAGAATAAAATAAATAATAAAGTATTTATCGTAACATGTAGTAATTAAATTTTTTACGTTGAAACTTTCAGCTAATCTACAAAAGTCATTGAGCTCTCAAAGCGCGGTTGATCATTTACAAATATTGTTTGCTTTCTAGACATAAATCATTATATAATAGAAATAATAGAATTGAATTCAAAATGAATTCAACTGTACTATTTTAAAAATAAAGTTTTCCCACTCATTTACTAAGAATACTTCAGTAACAGTAACTATCAAGATTTTTATTTAAGCGTTCTGTTTTTTAAATAAAATATTACTTCATTAATTCATTCGTTATATAACATTTATATTTTACTAATTTTGTGTAATGAAAATTTACATGATTGTGTGATAATATTAGAGTAATTTTCTTCAGTAATGATAAAAACTATTAGAAAATTTTAATATTTCTTTTGGCTTTATAACAAGCTCCAAACACTTTTAATATTCAATTATATTAAATTTCTTCTGTCAATTTTATTAACTAGGTTTATAGTTAGTTTTTTAAAAATACTATCTTCAAGTAATTCTACAATGAATCATAATAACCAGAATGTTTTTACAATTAATTAGCTTCTGATTGAAGTTGAGTCAAAAAGAAGGAAAAATCAAAGAGAAACAAAATATACTTATAAATATACACATATTGAAACATGTCTTTAATTAATCATTGTAATTATAATTTAAGCAAAAATAAGTATTTAATTTATATAACCTTAGCATAATTAGTGTGAGTTGATATCATTAGCACATAAATATTGTAATTACTAAAATACTTAATTACTAAACTATTATAATAAAGATATAATTCTTTATATTTTGCTGTTTAGTATTCTGTATTATCTATATATTGTTCTGTATATTTTTCCTTCTAGCTTATATCTACCAGTAGAAGCCTATTCTCGACTACATTAATATTATATTTATATATTTATATAAATAGAAGTACTTATAGATTGTGAATTGAGTTACTAATTCCTCTATATACTGAAAATAAATTTTCAATTGGATAGCTTATAAACTAAATAAATTGAACATTATTACTTTTATTCTTATACAATTAAATATTAATTTAATACTCTTCTAACATATTTTTTATTATCTATTTTTAAAACTTATTGACAATTTAAAAAAAAGAAATCTTACAATTTAACAATTATTGCTTTTATTGACACATGCAATCATACGACAAAAATCAACATTTAAGTAATAACACGTAATTTAAAAATATTCAATGATTATCGATTGGTTTGAATACAATTTTGTTTATTAATACTACCGATTATAACGTATAAATAATCTGACTATATGTACTTACTTGTTTTTACACAACCAAATGTATATAATTAGAAATTCCTACTAATTTTATAATTGATCATCGTGTTTTTCGTTTTACGATTACAAAAACTAATGAATGAAAGAAATGAAAGTCTACAAAATATATTTTATAAAAAAAACTTAAAATCGAAAAAATTACTTTCAAAGTGTATAATTATTTGTATAGAAATGAGGAATTTAAAAACATTTAATATAATTAATGTTTTTTCGAAGGATTTAAGATGATAAGCAATGGTTCAAAAATATAATTCTATAAAGTTGATTAAAAAATTAATAAATAAAGAAATTAATTTAGGATAAATTTTATATTATAAAAAAAATTTTAACCAACAAAATAAAACCATTAATTAAGAATAAAAATGTAAAAAAATAGGATTGTTAGAAAAACTATATTATATAATCTAATGATTTTATTACTTAAATAATTAATATAAACTACTAATATATCTAAATATGTTATAGATAAAAAACAGTTAAATTAGTTTCGAAGAAGCTATAATATATATTTTGTTATAAGACAAGTATTCCATAGTTACTCAAACTCAAATTACAGTTTGCAAACTAATAATTTGCAATATAATATCTCAAAGAAATAAAGAATTAGTAAATAAAACTTAATTGATGTACAATCTAAAACACATGATATTACTATTTATCATACATATTTTTTTCGTTATAAGTAGATATTCTTTATACTTGGTAAAATTATTAAAGCCAATATTTTTCTTCTTTTATGAACAATTATTAATCTTAGTAATAGATAATTAAATAAAAAAATATTTAACAATTCATTATAATTTATTGTTTTCAATGTAATTTTATTCAATCTTCAACGAATAATTCTAGCAATAGTTAAACTTTCAACAATCTTCAATATCTGATTGATTATTAGTATTATTATTATAATACTTTCTGATACTATTATAATAAATAAATATATGTTGAATTTTTTGGTATTTTTTATGTTAATGCACAGAAACTTTGACTTGAAATGAACTTGTCTAATAATTATCTGGAATAACTCAAGATTTGTTATTTAAAAGAATTTATAGTCATTTTAAAATGCACTTTAGTTTGTAATAATATAATAATAATGTTTTCCTTACTATTCTACGAACTTTAACATCAATAGTTTCTTGAACGTGACAGTCTTTGACTTTGAGTGATACATTAAAAAAAAATTCGAAGTATTCAGTACTTTTACTACTTTTCTAATATAAATAATTAAGTACATTGAATTACATAAAGTTGGATAATTAATATTTAACGTTGTTTTATAAATAAAAATGTTAGTTTTGAAATTCAGAACATTTATTTGAGATAGCTTATTCAAACTTAAATATAAAAAATTGTACACTTAATTAATAAGTTTGAAAAAATATTCAAATTATAAAATAAAATTGCATAACATTTAAAACCAAAATTCTCAGCTACAATAATTTTTTTTTCAATCACTATGTAATTATTAGTGTTATATTAAATATATATTATCAAAAAAAATTTTATCACTCAAATCGCTTTACATTTTCCGTTTTAACATTTGAATTTATTTTTATTTATTTATATTAAAAATTTAATTCTTTAAATCGCAATTACAAAAATGATATATTATTAAAAATCTGCCTCAAAAGTTTCTAGAAGTTATTAATGTATTCTTTTTATCCTTGTATGTAAAGCTTAGAGATTATTTTATCTCTAAATAGAAATGTTTATCCTGAATAGTTATTAATTGTTAGTTGACCTGAAATAATTGTTTCTTTTTAAAAATTCTCATAATAAACAAAATATATGTTTATAAAACAACAAATAGAAGCTGAAACTAAATATTACACTATTATCTGAATTGTTTAATTACTATATTTGATAATAATTTGACAGTGTCAACACACTGCTATACAAAAACTCATTTCGATTTATACTTTTGATTTCATACATCCGCAATGAAGGTCGATATGCAAAATGTTTTTGATCAAATATAAAATCTAATTAGATATAATATCTGTACCCATAGAAAAAATTAATAATATTCAAGAACAGCTTTAGCTGATTTTGAAGAACAATGATATTATTATATTCAAAATAAACATTTCAATTTTGATGGCGTTTTGGAAATAATTGTATAATTTTTGGCTAATATATGATGATTAAATCTTTATAGTAACTTTTTAATTTAGAATTTTAGAACCTTATCTGATAATATCAATTTTTCTTACCATATTTTGTAGAAATTGGACACCAAGGTTTTTTAATTTTAATTTTATAGGAACTCTAAATTCACTTGTATATTACTTTACAATTACGAGTGGTTGTAATATAAAACTTACTTTTAGATAAATAAGTAAATAATAATAAAGGCATCTCAAAGTAAATTATTATGAAAAATTTTATTTCTTTATTTGTAATTTCTTATATTTATATTTGTTTAAATATTTCTGTTTTAATTAGCTTTCATTTTTTCTGATATTTAAGCATTTATCTCCACATAATATGAATAACTAACCCAAATGACCTTATCCATAACAGAAATAAGGAATTTACTATAAGTACTATATGAATATTATTTGTTGATTCAATATTTATATGAAAGTAGGTTATGTAAATAAAATAAATGGCAAGTTAAGTACATGAAAGAAGTAATTATTCAAAAGTTGCTGTTTTTTAGTCACTAAGAGCGAATTAATTTATAGCAGTCTCCCATTGTTATGTAGTATATCAAGACAAAAGAAACAAATAAAAATTTTACTTTCTATATCTTCTCCAAATTGATAAAAAATTGGAAAGAAATATTCGAGCTAATTTATTTCATAATAGGATTGTTAAAATTTCAATTAACATATTTTTTATTTTACAGATTTTCAAATAAATTTTGCACAAAAATCAATTGTATTTTTGAATATTAATATTATATATTAATCATATATTTAAAATATGAGATACACAACTTCTTTGAATAAAATTTTTTAAAGATATTTCTTTTTTAGCAGAATAATAATAGAATATTATATATAGTAATACAGTGCTGAAGTATAATAATAAATAGGTTAAAAAATAATTTCAATAAAACTACATGCATATATTGAAATAATTTTCAAAATAAAGAAAATTTCAAAATTTCAAAATAAAAAAAATTAAAAGAAATTTGAAAACAATCTGTTAAGATAAAAATTAACTAGAATACTCTTAAAAATATTAAGTTTTTAGAAAATCAATATCTGTAATATGTTGCATATCATTCGTTAAATATTGATACATAAAACATTAATGAATATAAATCTTCAACTATTTTTAAAGAAACTAAACTTTGAGGCAGATATTTATACATTTATAACCGATTTAATGTTTTCTAAACATACAATAATGATAGATCGCTTTACTGCTTCAATTTGTTGAAAGTCGTCTATGACAGCATGGCATTCATCAATACAATTGAGTATTATAATATAGTATGCCTTTTAATTTTAATTTTAATGCTAAATAAATAGATACTATAAATGTGCTTTTTATTTAATTTCGTAAATGTTATCTTAATTATTTATATATTTTGATATATGACATTTTAATAAGATTAAATACTTATGTATTACGAAATGTAATTATTCTTGTAAACTAAACATTTAAGTTTACCTTGTGGCTAGCTGATATTATGATCCAGACTATCTCTCTTCGTTTCATTTGGGTGGAGAGCATTAAAATTCGCAGAGGATTCTAATATTGTTGTTTCCGAAGTCGATTCACTCTCAAAGTTCTTTTGAGATAGTGAATTTGTTATTGTTGAAACATTTTCATCAATTAAAACCTTTGTTCGATTAATCAATTCTTGAGAAGCACCAGAAGATATTAGCGTTCCTTGTGGACATTTGATAATTCCTTCATGTACAAGAGTTCGCTTAAAGTTCACCATGGTATTTTTTAATGTAATGCAGAACCCCTTAGATGCTGGTATCAAAGGAAACTCTGGTAAAATCTGGTTATCTGTAATTATAACAGTTATTTTTATAAATAGATAATTTTTCCCAATTAACCAGTTTTAAAATTTTCTGTAGATCTGTTTGAGTATTATATAAGTATTATATTATATATTATACATAATAAACATTTCTTATTAGAATTACTAAAGATTTGTTGAACTATTATTTTGATAAGACTTAATTTTGTTTCTTTAAATTTTATTATTGTATATTTTTACAATATATATATAGATTTCTTATATTAATAATAGATAAGCATATAAAAGGACCAAAATATTCTCTTATTGATAATTTGTCTAATTTAACAATAACGAAAACTGCTAATCTTCAATAATTTGTTAACATGAATTAAATTACATCTTTACTTAATAATTATACTTTATCAATATTTTGTATAATATAAAATGTATAACATTTTATTTTGTATTTTAAATTATATTTTTCCTTTATATCAAACTTTAAGATCAAGTTACAATATCAAATTATAAAATAATTCTGAATCTAAATAGAAAAAAAATATATTAATTGTAATTAAAACATTTACCACGTGAAGCAATTTCTTTAAACATAGTTGGATTCACTGGCGATAGTGGATGATGATTATTATGTTGTTCAGAAATCTCCATCCATAGCTCTAATCTTTGTAATAATTTCTCAAAATGTCTATTGAAATGTTCTATAATTATATCTTTAAAAACTGGTGGTGGATATTGTAGCAGTTTCGATTGGGACTGTACAAGTTTTAAAACAACCATTTCATTGTACATTCTTGAATTTTCACAGCCTTGTTGGGATCCTTTTTGTTTCTCAAAGCCAGCCTCATTAAAATATGGCTCTGCTACAAGAATCAAACCCTGAAGATGAAAGCATTTTTTATATTGCATTCATTTGTATTTATAATACAAATTTATTGAAATAATACAAAGATTTCTTATAATAATAGATATATAATATATATGTAAAAATAATATAAAAAACAGTAAATTTAGATTAAAAGACGTGTTTTATTATTTTATGAATATTTAAATGTTATATTTAAATTTAAATAATTCTTCTTTAATTTTATTTTTTAATATACCTGAATAGAAACTATGACTTGAAGTAGCGTTGATGCATTTGTCCATACTTCTGTTCCTCGCCCTGCCCATGTTCCTAATAAACTTACACACACTTTGCCATCTTCATAAAGATTCGGATTTAATCTATCGCTACAATATGAAATGTAATGGCATAAAGGAGGAGCTGCTGGATAATCAGCCGACAATTGAAAATCAAAAAGAAAGAGTCCATCTTCATAGGGTGTTTTTTCAGGACCACGAAGCATGACAGAGTATAAATCCATTCGATCCTCGAATCCTTTAACCCATATACCAGACGGTAGAGAACTTCTTAGTAATTTTAATTCCTTTGAAACAGTACGAAAAAAATTAACACGATCAGTTGGTTGAAACATAGTGAGCTTGAATTTGTGACTATCTGGAGCTGTCTCTTCTATTGAAAAACCTTCACCTTCGGTATATACTGGTGGTGGAATCTCTATTAATGGTTCTGAGTCAGATAGTAAATCAATCTTTTTATCATCCTCTTTTTTCAGTTTTTTATTAGGAGATGAAGTTTTAGCTGCATCGGATAAGGACATTTTTGAAAGTCCAAATCTTTTAGATACTTCAGCATGTGCTAACACTGTAATTGTTTTAATAATTTTTAAAAAACATTTGAAAATAAGATATACTTTAAAAGTAAGATTCTTCCTAATATTTATTAGAAAATAATTTTTTGCATTTATAAATATATGGTAACAAACTTCTTGAAAAATTCTCAATTTACTATTCTGTATTTAGTAAATTATAATAGTATTTAAAAATTGGAAGAAAAATATATAGAAATATATACAAGTTGATTGTTAAATAAAATGAATATCAATTGAATAAATAAAGTAGGAAATATTTCCAATTGATTCAGTATATTCAATTTATTAAAAAATAAATTTCAAAATATTGCTTCAAAAATTTTATATCATTAAATGCAATTTCTTAATACTTATATAATAGAAATATTTATTATTAATTACAATACATAAACGCCAAAGAAAATTATATTCTAATATATACAATAATTTGATTTTTATTTCTGAATATTGTTTAATCATAAACAGTAGAATTTAAAATTTAATGTTCTACAATTTTTAGAAGTTTAGTTTCTTTTACATGTACATTTTAAGTTAATTCTAACAAACAGCGAAAAATTTATCTCGTTAAAAGTTATGAATAAACTAATTATATTATATTTTGGAAATAATGGAATACTAAAAACAAGCCTTTTATTTACATAATAAGTAATTACATACAAATTTTTAATTTTTTAATTATTTATTTTATATAATGTATTTTCAAATTAATATGATGGTAATATTAAAAATAGAGAAATTTTATGTTTTGCAAAAATTATAAGCGCTTATAATTTATAGTATAAAATAAAATTTACTATCATTATTTTAAAAAATAAAATAATATTTAAATTATATTGGTAGTAAATACAATATTTGTTAGTATATATAGGATATTTGTTTTCATGAGAAAGATACTAAATCCTTACTTTTTCTTAAGATTTTCCTCCAATGAAAATTAAACTAGGAAGGTATAAAATTGCATAATATATATAAATGAATTTAAAAATAAATATTTATTTCTTTACTGTACCAACAATTTTTGAAAGTCAACAAAAATGTCCTATTTAATATTCAATTAAAGTTTAAATATATTTTAAAATATGTTAGTAAACATGTTAAGAATAAAAATTTCTTTTATTACCCAATTGTGCTTTGATGAGATTGCAAAGTTTAACACATACATGTGACGATCTGATGTGAATGTTATCTATATTTTCAGAAAGAGATGGAGTCTGTTGAATATCTAGAGCAGATTTTTCTCCATTATTAACATCCTCACTTAGCAGAAATTCTCCACTTGATTCACTTGATCCAGATTCTTTTTTTGAGTGTTCAGCAGAAAATGATCCAGAATCTTCAGGATTTAGATTTAAGTGGATAAAAAATTGATTTTCCTTGTTTAGTTCACTGGTTTTCAAATCTTTTTTATTTTCTTCGCCATCTAATACAACTTCCTCTGTAAATATTAGACTTATTTTTTCAGATATCGATTTATCTAAAGAGTTGCTAACACTATTTATTTGGACATCTTGACTTTTGGATTCAATGTGTTCTGAATTTCTTTCCAGTCCATTTTCAGTATGAGTAAAGAGTCTATTTACCTACAAAATAAATATTTAATTCTCTTCCTACTTATATTTTGAAAAAAATCCAAACTTTTTTTTTAAATATTATAATGCAAAGTAAATAAGTGAGCTAACAAATTTTTTAAGTACATTTTATTTTTACAATAAAATAGTAAATTTCGTACCTATTGAAAAATAATATAGTTATTTTTATAGTACAATATTTCTTAATTTTTTTATACAATTTAAAAATATAATAAAAAAAAAATATTATAGATTAATAATTTAACTAATATTCTATAATTGTTTTTATTATCATAGACCAGCCATTTATTGAAATGTTAATATTTAATTTACCAAATTACAAGTTGTAAGTATATAATAATTAAATGTTAAAAAAAATCTTATATTGCACAAAACATACCTGATCAACCATTCTCTGGGCCACATTAGCCCTTCCTCGCTCCCTAACTCTTTCCAAAAGTCCTTGAAAATGACTTTCGTGAAAAAAAGAAGTACCCATCAGCCTATCCATGTACCGACAATCTTTATAAACCTCTAGTAGTCTTCTCATAACTTCAGTTGTTTGTAATGCTGGATTCTGTGTAAAAATCTCTTCTAATCTTGACATAGCAATTCTTGCCTTTTCAATATGTGCGGCTAGCTTTGGTTTTATATTTTCAGTCTGCTCAGTATTTCCATCATTATCTGCGATGAAACAGTCTTCAAGTTCTGTCTCCCAAGAAGCATCCGAAGAAACATCGTCCCATAATTCACCTTCGTCGCTATCATACTCGCCTACCTTATATAAATCTTGCGGCCAACACATACTCACGTGACCATCAACCCACCAGACTTTAACATGACCCTCTGGATAGTTATCAAGAACTTGACCAGCAGTACATCTCGCATCCTCACCTTCAAAATTTGCTATACGAATGACTAGAGTGCCTGGCCTATACTGAAAGTCTGGATGGTCTTTCAGATCATAAACGCTTACTTCGCGCTCTTCTAAAAATGTCGGTCTGTAAATATTAGTAACTATAATTAATGCTTCAATTCTTTGAATTTAAATGAGCAAAAACAACTTTAAGTTGCTTTCTAACTAATATATATTAACTTTGTTTTATATTTAATATAAAATTAAGTAAAAATATTATTATATGTTACAAGCGTTTTCAATTATTAATTATAATTTATATTTATAAATTTTTCCAATTACAATTTGTTTAAATTTCCATTTTTCAAATAAATTATTATTTACAATTGTGTTATTTAATTTACTCTTCTTATAATCATTTTCAAATATTAAGAATATTTGTTTTTATTTAATTTTTCTTAAACTTTAGTATTAAAAATATCTTAATTTGTATTAAATATAAATATATTTATACATACTCTATACTTGAAAAAACTTTAAATTTAATTATAATTAACAAAAGAGAAATTTTAGGGTAATGAATGTATAAAGAATGATTATATTTTTACATATGAAATAATAAAATTAAAAAATAAAAATTGTAGATGCACAAAATAACTTGTTTATTTATAACTTCTTTATTAAATGTTATTCATAGATAAAAATTACACTTACTGAGGACTTTGACTAGATGTGTAAGTTTTAAACCACTTTATTGTAGCAGTTCTTCCTTGATGATCAACACTTTGCACTACTCCATACATTCTTGATTCTTCATTTTGATCAATAACAAAATCACCGGGAAAAAACTCTTTATCATCTAAATGGTGAATTGGATACAGCTGAATGGATGGTATACCTAAAATTAAAATTTTATACTATATATTATACAATATTATTTAATAATAATCATTTAATATAACTAGCTCAAAAAATATAGAAATAAAATATAATAAAACAGAAATGTATTCAAGAATGAAATTTCATCTATAAACTAGAAAAATGAAATACAAATTTTTAAGTAAAAATGAATATTTTATATACCAAATTCGACAGAACCATCTTGCCAAACAACATTTGCTTTGGTATTTGTAGAAAGAGTTTCTACAACAATTTTTGTTCCAGGTACTAATGGAGGAGGAGGAATTCTTTTTCGAGCTTTACACAGTTTGCGTTTTTTAAGAACTTTTGTCATTAGTGCTGGACCTTTTTTCTTCTTTCCCATTGATGATAAACTAGAACAACCACTTGATACCTATAAAATGCAAGATTTAGCTTAGTAATCAAATTCGAAATCAAGATTTACTTATTGAATATACGTCTTATTTTACCGATGCAGAATCACTTTGAGAATCCGTGTTTTCAGTATCCCAATCATCTGAGCTTTCAATATTTTGATTTTGAATAGGAAGCAATAAATTGTTGCTTATTACATCTTTTCCACAATATGTTTTATTCTCAATACTGATTTTACGTTCTTCTTTCGAATTTTCACGCAATTTATCAATTCCCCTATCTTTCTTTATTTTCGCTTCAACAGCTATTTTTGACATATTAATGTTGCGTGTTTTTCTTGGGCTATGTTTAGGAACTTGAAAATTTTCTCTTTGTTGTTTCCGCCATTGTTCACGTGTTATAACACTCTCATCACCTTTGATTACATAAAAATTTCTATCACCTACTTGTAGTGTTGATGGCTCAAAAACATTAAGCAATTTCAGTTTTTTTAAATCTTCACCCTCTACAACAAATTTAGGGTGTGCTTGGTCTATCCAAGCACCATCTCTAGAATACGTTTTACATTGCCAATGTACACCTACCCAATCAGTTTCAACTTTTTCAACAATCACTTTTGTTATTCGCTGTGGTTTAGATTTTCGTTTAGCTTTCATCTCTTTTGTACATTGTATCCACTGTGCTTCTTCAAGACAATGTACAGGACCCCATAAACTCTGACCAGGATAGAATTCAGATGAATGAGGAAAATCATTATCCTACAAAATTTATTAAATTGATATTGTGTACAACAATAATCGTATAACTACTTGAAAATTATTTAATTTTAATCAATATGTAGTTATTATATCTCAATAAATTAATTATAACATTTTCTTACTGTTTCTCGTTTTTCTTCAAAATGTTCTAAGCCTCTAGCATCTATTTCATTAATAACACATCTAGAACCATCAGGAGTGGCCAGCCACAATTTAAAATGAACCATTCTGATTCCACCCACCCAAGAATCCATGCAGACCGCTATATCTGAAGCAAATTCCTAAAAAAAATTTATCCTTATTCATCATATAAATAGTTGCATACATTAAGAATTAATTTAATAAATGTCTGAATTTACCTCAAGTGGTACAAGATTTTCACTTTTAATATTCGTTAATACTTGTTTAGTACCAATAACTTGAACACAAGCAGTTAACTCAATATCTCGACAATAACCTCTTTGTGTATCTTTACCTTTGATCATGCGTCTAACAACATCGCCTGGCATCAAAGTTCTATCAGCTAGATGAATCTACAATAAGAAAACGTGTATTCTTATAAATAATTTATTGAATTACTCACTGATTTGTTATAGAATCATATTTAATGATAATTAAAAAAAAATTAATAATACAAAGATAAAATTAAAATATATTTATAAATTAAAAATTATCTATCAATAATCTATATATTTAATAAATAAAAAAATAAACTAATATAGTAAAAAAAAATAAATCAGAATATAAAACAATATTAAATAGCATATCAAATTAAAAATACTTATATAAAAATATTATACAATTAATTAAAAGCATCAATAAATTTAATAAATTTAAAATACATTCAAATATTTTATATAAATAGAAATAAAATGGATATCAATAAAATTTCAAAACAAACCAATCAACCTTTCAATAATATTAAATAATGACAATCTATGTATACAATTATACTACTGTATACATTAGGTCACAACAGAACCTTTAAAGGTTAGACCATTTGTTTGCCTACTGAATCAACTAAATATCCTATCAAAAACATATTATAATAAAAATGTTAAGTTAATTTAAATAAAGATAGAAAAGTGATAGAAATAAAAAAATATATATATATATATATATGTTTTAAAAATTTGCCTTCTTTGAATTGACAAGCTCCTCAACTCCGGATGGATGCCACACGACACGGATTTCACCCTTCTTTCGCTTAGGGCTGTCTTCATTGCTGCTACTTTCATCGGATAACTCTTGATCATCGTTTTCCATGACGATACCGAACTCAACATTACCACGCTTGTCGACTCGATAAACAACATCCTCGTAAAAGTACTGCTTCTCTGAGCTAGTGCCTGAATTATTAATAGTTGTCATCGGCATCAACATCGATGTTGCCGTGGTACTCGTAGTCGTATTTGTATTAATGATCGTTGTTCCGTTAGCGGCCATAATAATACTAATAATAATTATTATTATTTATTAGAAACATAGCTTAATCCCGAATAGTAATATATGAATATACTATTTTATTCTTTCTTTTCGATAAAAATATATCGAGATGGAAATATTTCGCCGGCCCTTATCTACGAACTTAGGGCTCGTCTTCACTTTTGCTTACCATCTATTTCTTGTTCTACTTTCACAATACTATTCTTTTATAAACGTATATATGCACGCTGCCCTCACCTTATCTGTTTACCTTTTTCCCCGTCAACCCCGTCTTCGACGTCGTCGTCGAAGAGGCCTGCGGAAGTCCGCCAGCGGCCAAAGAGTGACACAGTCACGCTCTTTCTATCTTTCTCTTGCCGCGATGGCCAGTGGCGACACTCACTCAATTCGTGATGATTTTATTTTACAAAGAGAAAAAATAAGATAAAAAAAGAATGAAAAAAGCATAACACAAATCAAGAAAAATATAATAAAAAAATTGAATTTATGGAGATAATTGTAACATAGTGTGAAAAAAAAATAAATCAAATGATTTAACGATAAAAATAATAAAGGAGATAATGAGAATGAAGTAAAATGTAAGCCATACTTTTAGTACATATACAAATTGATAAATATTACGGAAGCATGGAAGATAAAAGATCAAAGAGAACATGCATAAATAAAGAGAATGAGAAAGCAATCACAAATAAACAGATTAAGTTAACTATTTAACGGTGGGTGAGGACTATGACGATACACAACATAAGAAGATCGAATATATTGCAAAGTGTAATCGGCACACAGATTTATAAAATGTAAGATTCAAGCGTTTCTTGTTGACCTTGAGCAACTTTGACTAATAATATTTATCAACTAAAAGATGAAAAATACACTTAAAAGTTTATTTTAAATATGTTATTATTATGCAGATGTATTTTTTCAATATTTACATAAATTATTTAGTTTTTTATAGTTAGTATTATTTTAATCTGTTTATAATTATTATTTATTTTATATGATTCCTATAATGTAACAGTAAAATTTGTAATTAATGGAATAACTATTAAATACCATTGGATTATTATTAAAACTATACTAATCATAATTTAAAATTGGAAATATTTTATATAATTATAAATTAAAATTTTTTTAATTATAACAATTATAATCTTTCATAACCAATATGTATAATGCGGGATGTTACGAAAACAGTATAATCAGAAGATGATAAGGTTAACATAACACTCCTGGCCTTTTAAATTTAGAGAGAGTATGTATCTATTTTTAATATGTGTATCAAATATGTATCCAATATCATAATTCTCTCGTTCTTTGCAGCAAACTTAATATATAGCGTACAGGTGTAGCCATCTCGTGGTTATTCGTATACTATTCTAATTTGATTAGTTTTCCCTATGATTCTCTCACAATTCCACGTAAATTTATTTGCATAATCGTAACACAAATATAGTACTATATACAATTATTCCTATAAATTTATGTTATTGAATAACTATACATCATGTTTATAATAATATCACAGCATACTTTGTACAGTTTGAAAATACAAATCACAAATGTAAATACAATTCCTTTTTCTATAAACTGCACGCACGCGCGCGTACACGCATGCATGCGCGTATGAATACATATAATTTATAATAAAAAATATCGTATTAAAAATTCTTAATTTTATTTTATTTGTAAATATATTTAAAATTATATAAAAGAATTTGATTAAACTATTTAAATTGTGGACTTAAAGTATTTTTCATTAAATATGCTTAATACAAATTGTTAATGATTGAATTAAACCTAACAAAATTAACAATTTTATTTAAATAATGCATAAAAGATTATATAAATAATTTGTACGCAAAATATGTAATTTAACTATACTAAATAGTAATTATATCGTATTTTTTATAAAAAACAAAAAATTAGATTCGTTTTCTCAAAATTATTTATTTAGAAAGTAGTTTAATATGTGTAAAAATAACATATATGCTTTTAAAACTGAATGAATATATTGTATAAATTTAATTTTTCATGATTGACAACTATCTATTGATACTTCTATTTACACATAAATGATTTTTTATAATTGTCTTAATTACAATGAAATTGCCTTTTTAATTATTACTATACAAAATAAATTCATGGCGTAATATTAATAAATAACCAAGTATAACAATAAATTTAACAATAAAATATAAAAAATATAATAATGTATATACAAATTTTAATATAAACAATGACCGATAAATAATGAATATATATAAATAATGTCTACATAATATTATTGTATTACTTTTTTAAATATTTAACTAAAAATGTTTGTAATTCAAAAAATGTCATTTCCACCTTTTATTTCAAATATAATTTTATACCAATGATAAAAAAATTAATAAAAAATGCATAAATTTATATATATATATATATATATATAGCGAGATACATTTATGCATTTTCTATTTATTTTGTATGTCAATTACGAAATCAATATTTACATGAATAAAGTTGAATTTAAATGAATAAATATAATTTTTTTTAATAACAATATAGATCATTTTTTACTTCGTAATTTCAAATAGAATACTTTAAAATATTAAATCAAATAAAACTCTTATTAACATATAAATATATATTTCTAATATTTGGATTTATTACTAATTAATAATTAATTAATGATTGTTATAGTAATTTATAATGCCATGAAATTCTAAACTTCAAAGTGAATGCAATAAAAATCTTGATCAAGGCTTAGTAGAATTATTTGCATTTTACTATCATTGTGTATCATAGGTACTTCAAAATTAATGATCAATTACAATTTATATGTTTACATTATTACAATTTCTATTATTTTATAAACGACTATGATTTGTTATCTAACAATTAATTCTAAATAATTAAACTAATAGATAATAGTTTCTTTTAAATTATTCTTTATTAATAAAATTTCAAATTAAAAATATTACATTTAATTATAATAAAACATGCAAATATATTAGTTTGCTAGTGCTATTACATAAATATATCTATAACTATAAAATTTTTTTAATTTTTATAATTAACATTTAACCTCTTGTATATTATACAATGAATCATTTTATGTAAAAATTTAATCATTTTATTCAGAAAGAATAAATTATAAATTATTAAAAATTAAATTCTTAGCATTCAAGATATGGCGAGTAATCTAAAAGTTACAAATGCCATAATTGGACTTTTGTTGGAGTATTGTCCATGAAATTAAAATTTCTTAAATATAATTTAAAATTAAAAATTTTAATTTATAATAAAATAGTGTACAATATTTCTCCACAAATTTGATTCCCAAGAAAACTCCCTATTCTGTAATAATCAAATGGTACAAATGTTCTTTCCTATTTCAAGTAATTATAAATTGTAAAATAAAAATATTATTAAATTAATAATTATGATTTCTAATTAATTAATTTTACCAAAAATATGTTAAAAATATATATTTTATTTAAGAAAAAATAATTATAAATATTACAATAGTTTCAAATTATATTGATTATTATAAATGCTTTGAATTATGTGATTGATGTCATAATTATATAATCTGTTTTATATATTAGTAAAATAACTTCTTAACTAAAATTTAATAAAAATAAACATTTTTAAAGTGTATAGTTTGATATATTGAATATAGAAAAAAAAATAAAACGAATATTGTTAAAACAGTATCATTTATCATTAAATATATTGATTCATAAACAGAATATATAAAAATTTACAATTGATTGAACTTTGAATGATTTGTTGATATAATATTTATAACCAATAAGACTATATAGATAAATCCAATTTAAACATGTTTTTATTGAAAACCTTAATTTACCACATGTATTTGAAACTTTCTAATTTGCTTATTTATTTTTTACTACAAATGTATAAAAAGCTAATGAGCTAAAATAAATTATTTTTAGAAATTACTTTAATTAATATCTAAATTTATTATTAAATTTAAATATTTTGTTTTCCATGTATTTTCATAGTTCTGAAAGGTTTGATATATCAATATTATTTATATATAATAAAACATTTCTGAAAATACTTTTGAAGACATTTCAACATCAACATAAAAAAAGTTCTTCATTATCATTAGTAAAATCCCTACCATATTATATAAATTTTCGAAGAGTATCTAATAAAAATTATATAATTCTTTGATACATTATTACATCAATATAATAAATTATTACATTCTCTAATATACATTGTAAATAAATTAGAAAACAGATATTTGTGACAAAAATAAAAACAATTTTTAATAATTATCAATAGTAATAATTATCAAATTAAACAATCAAGACTTATAAAAACATAAAGGAGTAACCAGTTATTTTTTAAATTTACTATCAACGTAACTTTTTTTTATAAATATTCCATTATTAACAAGGCTACAAAAATATAAGAATGTTCAAATGAATGAAGGCTAATTAAAACATATTTGATAAATGTTTTTATCATTTCCCATTTTATAACGTATACCATGTTATCAAACATTTGAATACCCAAAGCTATAAATTGAATATTGAATCGAGTAATTGACATTTGAAATTCTAAATAAATGGTAGATTTTAATGAGTTTATAATAGCAACATTTTCGTAAATATATCCTAACCTAAATACTCTTGGATAAAATATACAAATTTTATAAAATAAAAATTAAAATAATTATTAAAATGGTATAAGTATATATAAAATTATTGACACAAATTTTTGAGAACATATTTCTAACTGATAATAGAGAAAAGACTTATCTATAATATACTATACTATTGAAAGTAACTGAAATGCTTATGTACGTACATACAGAAACCTTGGTAGTGTAATAAATGATAGTTATGAACGTAGTGTGACAAATTGTTATATGATTGAAAATTTATTCTTTTTTTCTACAAGTAACATCAATATTCAATTATTTGGAATAATAATTACTACAATTTTTTGTGTACGGAAATAAAATTGATATAAATTCTAATATTGTATGTAATATTCTAATATCTTTAATAGTTTTTTTCGAATTCTACCAAACCTGAAATAAAAAAACATTTATAATTAATATATAATTTGAATAATTAGTTAAATATTTATTATTTTATATAATCTCTATATTTTGTATTTGAAAAGAAGGGTGTTCTTATTATTTTATAAATCACAATACATATCACTTTGAAAGTCATATTGTTATTAATTTGGAATATATTCAATTTAAGTAAAATATTATTTTTAATGCAATTTATTAATAAATTAAAAGATTAAATTTTTAATCAATCATTTTATATAGTATATTAATATATATACTTAATTAAAAATATATGTATAAACTATATTAATGTTTAATTTTAATTAAATTTTTTTTAAGGCTGTATAAAAAAACTCATAAAATGGCTATGAATTATCCTGATGTAAATGAATTAAAACACACAGCATTACTAAATTTTATGGAACAATTCAGTGAAAATGCAACTGTATGTGTTTATGCTCCAGGACGTGTGAATTTAATCGGTGAACACACTGATTACAACGATGGTTTTGTGTTACCTATGGTAAATATTATAATGAAAATGACCACTTTTTTTAGAGCATACAATAAAATATTTGTTATTAGATATTCTTATTCATAAATATATTGTACTTATAAGTTTATATTATGTTTTGATTCTTTTTGATAATATTTAAAAAAAAGTTAATTTATTTTTAATACTCAAAATAATATATCAAATGATGGAAATATTAAAATTTATGATATATTTAAATGTACATATTAATATATTTAATTAACTACATCATAGTATATTTAGTAAGTAAATCATTTGTAATTTTATATTATATTGATTATTTTATTATATATTAATTTTCCAAAAGTAATATTTATAAAATTAGGAATTATTAAACTAAATAAATTTGGATATTAAATTTTTATAATGAATTAATTTCAATTTTGAATGCTCAAAAATCTAATATATTTTATGATCCCACAATATCAAACTACTGCAACAATGAATAATAATTTGATAATTATATGGTAATTAATGTCATAAGTTACCTTTGGATTGAAATAAATGATTGTTTAGGTAAATGTAAAATAAAAACATAAATAGAATTATTATAGCTATTACAATTATATAAAAATAGTTTTTAATTATATAACAATAGTTCTGAAAAATTTAAATTATCATTATTAACTTTATCCAATGTTTTTTTTATTGAAGTTTTAATTTTTGAAAAATCTTCTATTAATATTTTTCTTACATTTCAAAGATATAAGGAATATATTTATACATATAATAATTAAATGAATAAACAATGTTAATAACATATATTAAATAATTAAAAAGTAAAGTCGTATTTAAACCCTAATAATTTCGTAATTTAAAATGTATTGAATTTTGCAAAAGTATTCTTATGAATAAATCCTTATATAATATGCAAATAATACTTATATTTAATTATTACTGTTCCAAAGGTATTTATAGAAATAAAATTTGTAAAAGTTTTTTTGTAATTTCTTTAATTTTATGTATTGGTTTAAGAGAATATGTCTTAAACTGTTTAGTAATACTTCTACTCGAAAAAAGGGTGTTTAGAATTAACTAAAAAAACCACTAGATGTTGTGTGGGAGAATGCGTGGGCAAGTGGGATGGTTAATGCACTGATTCACTAAATGCACGTGTATTTCTTATTTCTTATTCCATTTACTTTCCAATATAGGGATTATTATTCTTGGAGAGGTTATAAATGAACCTTTACTATTCTCAATAATGAATGTGGCGTTGAGGTGCACTGCCGTTGGAGAACCAGAAGGTTGCGAAGTTCTGATCCTCGAGACGTAATGGCCTTGATGGTAAATTACACTGAGAAATGGGATAGGTTATAAAGCTATCGTCACTTCTTGAATATTGCCACTTGAGAATTTATGACTGCTTCGTGCTCTGAAACGAATACTACAGTTCTTGTCTGCGTAATGATTCTTCTTCTTCATGAGAACATCATGGGGCGAGAGTGAGAATAAGTCTTGATTTTTCATGAGAATAAGTGTTTGAATATTGTACTTGTCTTTCTTAAATAACCCACTGAACGAGGTTCTGCTAGAGATCCCTTTCCTTTTCTTGTGTCCAATTAGAGCACGACTTCTGGGCAGCATGATTGATCATGCACGCCTTTATTTCCACTTCCTTCCGGGTTTAGGCTTGAAAATGCTAATATTGGGAAAGTGTCTAAAAGGGGGGGTCTACTATTGGTCGTGTCTCTCTTCTCTGGGAATTAACGATTTGGGAGGTCGTCTGGGAGCGCTGTCGATTGGCTAGTGCGATAGGCAAGATTCGGCGTACATGAGAACAATCTACGCATTGTCTTAAGGTGCCGTATGCGCACGTACACCGATTTCCCGGTGTCGCACGTGCGGGGTTTTGGGTTATAGTGAATTTTAGGAAATGTTTTTATGGTCAATAGTTTGCGTACATCTGGCACTTTCAATTGTTCTAGCATAAACAGACTCGACGCGTTCGTGCCAGTAAACAGCCAGGTCATTAATGCGCCAAACAATGAACGCATTGGTAATGCGAAATAAATAGCACGACTAATTTAAGGGGTTTTCTAGATGTACCGACCTTTTCGTGTCACCGACGCCCGTGAGAGAGTTTTTTTCAAATTTTATGATCGAGTGTAATAAGTTTAATGACACTCTAGCTTGATATGAAACGAACATGAATTTTTCAGAGACTAACGAAAATTTAATGATGTTGTTTTGCCAGATGTTTTATTGCATTGAAAAAGGTCTCGCAATCTCGAACAAAGAGTATTCTTTAATAGAATGTAGATATATTGAAGAATATAATCAGAAAAATAAAATGAGAAAAGATAAAAAATAATATATGTTAATTATTGCTTTATTCATAAATTCTCCAATTAAATACTATTAAATTGGTAAATATAATACAAATGTATTTTCAGTAAATAAAATAAGTTTAACCATTTTATTTACGGCTAATGGAAATCACTCTGGGAAACTGTAGATAAACTTGATTATATAAAGATACTTTTAATGAAGATAGAAAAGTAATGAGCAGATCACTGAATTATTATAGAAATTGAAAATTTTCTATTCTTGGTTATTATATATACTGATTCATGAGGTATAAGAAATGAGGTTCTTTGTACTTATACTTATAAAAGACTGTAATGATTCTTAAATTAGTATAAAAAATAATAATTTGGTAAATATTACTAAGTATAAGCTGAATGATTAAAATAGTATACAAAATCAATGAATGACTTTAAGAAATGATTTTCTGGCCGTTGGATGTTAAGACTTGTTATTTATAATAGTCGTTAAAGTTAAATTTCTCACTTAAGACTGTTATCTTAAAATATTACGCCCCTTATCATCAACTTAGTTATTTGGACATTATAATCTACCCTGAATATGGAATCTTCGCAACATCCTTTTTCTTTAGCAAACCTTTAATTATTAAAAGTAAAACATTTATTTCAAATATTTCAGTTGAAACATTGGAATCCATGACATTGAAATTAATATTATTCGTTGTAAGAGAGATATAAATTGGTGATGTAATTGCGAGATTGAGCTAGTATATAATATTTTAAGTGAAGGAGAATTAATATTTGAAACATACAAATTATAAGACATAGAAGTTATAGTTTTATATGGTGTTAATCATCTTGCTTTAGTGATTGGAATAATTTTAGTTTATCTTTGTAATCTATATTTGTTATCTTGTGCAAATTATGTATCTATAATGATACTTTAAACTCAGCAAATTTATACGTCAAATAACATAGTAATAGAAGATAATGAAGTGATGTAATTTGATATATACTTGTATTTAGCTATCTGATTCATTAAGATATTCATATTATTCTTGGCATATCTCAAAATAACAGAGAGCATATTCTATGAGGAATCCTAATCGTTTAAAACGTAATGATTTAGTCAATTGTGTAAATTTATGTTTTCCTTAGGAAGTAATTTGCATATTGACAAACCGAACTGCATTAAAAAGTAGTGAATATCACGATTATACTATAGAAATGGGCTTAAAATAAAATAACAACAAGTAGAACATACCGTTTTTATGAGTATTATTAATATTATTGGTTTATAAATGTGGAATAATATCCGTAAATATTTATAAATTCTACATATTAATCTCTTCGATATTTATAGTAGAAGAAATAAAGATATTAATATAGTTTACAAACTTTAATAATATGATATGTAAAGCTGGAAAAGTAACTACGAATTTTAACGTAGAAAACGATTTAACTAATTATTACAGTTTAATTTGATATAAATAGAAATCTGCTTCTGCTTAAATTACAAATTGAGTAGTTTAAAATGAAAAGTATTATAAAAAATAATACCTACTGTCCCACTATTTTTATACTGGAAAAGATTATTCTTTATTGCTTTTTATTTCAAGTCTTCATTTATTTCATTAAACTTTGATCCTGAAATGAAAAAAGAAATAATTGATTCTCTGAAAAAAATAAATATTATTTGACACAATATTTTTTTGGGATAATTAATTATCTGTGAAATGAATAGAATTATAATTTGACAACACACTTTTTCATACAAAAAAGAAATTAAAATGTATTAATAATTTTGTCACATATTTATTTAATTAAAAAAAAAGGTAATACAATTAATTTGTTATACTCAATCCTTTATAGCTTTCACTCGGCGTTCAAATATTTTTTAATTGTATACATAGCTTAATAGATTTCTCTTTATTTTAAAATTACAAGTTTAATCCGTAAGTCAATTATTGTCATAGGCGTTACCATTAATCACAATGATTGTTGGAAAACCAAATAATATGAAAAGGTGCAAGATTATTTCAATGAGTGAAGCTATTGGAGATGAAAAAATATGTGAATTTGATTGCAGTAACCATGCAGCATTAAAAGCAGGAGATCCAAAATGGTCCAATTATGTTAAAGGATGCTTAGCGAATTTTAAACGTAATATGTATATTTTATTTTATTCATTATGTCGCTATATCATTTATATTAATAAAGATTTATATCTTTGAATATTTCGTTTATGTTAATATTTGTATTATTAAATTCATTTAAAAATTATGGTTTATCAATTATTGATTGAATAAACATTAAACACCTACGATTAGTTATCATTAGTCCTTTAAATTTGTAGCTTTTTTGTAATTGCTGTTATAAGAAAATTTGTAATATAATGATTTTAAATACTTAATTTTATTCTCGAATATTTTGATTATTTATCACTAATTTTTTAAACTTAGTTCTATGGTAGTGATACTTTTTCTGTACTAGTTAATTATAAATAAATTAATTATAAATCATGTTCGGTTAAATTAATAGGTTACATTAAGAACTATGATTTCATATTATAAAGTTTTATATTTTATAGCCCCTCTAATAGGATTTAATGCTGTAATTGTATCTACGATCCCGATTGGTGCTGGACTTAGTAGTTCCGCTGCACTTGAGGTTGCAACGTATACATTTTTGGAATCTATAACTAAGGACATTTCGATTAAACCAAAAGATAAAGTATGTAGTTAATAATATAAGTAAAGTGCATGCGTATATATATATATATATTAAATTCTACTTAACAATCTAAATGAAACAGTCGATATTTAATATTGATCATATAATATGTAAATTAATCATAAAATTGCTTTATAAATAATTTAAAATTAAGAAAATTATATAGTAATTTAAGTATATGTAACTATTAATTATTATAATGTTATACTAAAATGTGTATATACATATATAAACATTAACTTGCATTTTATACATATGTAATATATATATATATATATATATATATATATATATATTAACCATGTTTTTTCTAGATTTTTTTTTAATATATAAATTTACTATTTTATTATAATATTTAACGCAGCCAATAATAATGATCGAATGTACTAATGTCTCTCTTAAAATAAATTTTAATGAAAATAATTATCAAATATTGAATATATACGCTACAATATTTACACTATAAAACAATTTATATGAACATTAGCATTCAATTAACAATGGATGACAGTGTTCTTCATGAAAAAAGAGGTGATAGAACAGAAAATACTTTCTTCCAAGATAAATTAAGTATTTCTCAATAAACGAAAGGTGATTATAAATCTTGAAGAGTATATTGTATACCATAATTTTTGTCATCTTCAATAGGAGTTTTGAAAGCAACCGCATTATATCTTAATGCTATTAGCAATGATAAAAATGTATACCAAATTGTATCTTACGCAAGAAAACCATAATCTAAATGAATATACTATAGATTCTTTGAATAAATTTAATTATTTAGGACCTTTGGTTATGTGATAATTTAATACGTATTACGTAATGTACACAACGTGGTTGCAGATTAGAAATTTATCAAAGTATGTTTTCATAAATTCATTTATCATCACAACGTTTTTCTAATGAACTTAAGCCTATATTACTACTATTTGAATATGTTTAGAAATTAGACAATGTCCACCAGTTTCCTGGTGGGAAAAAGTGTGAATAAGTGGAAGGGGTAGCACATCAATTCAATTCAACACATCTGCTTTTCGTGCTTGTTTATTGCGTTTTATTTACAACTACACTATAATGATTCTATGGTGACTATGAGAATCGTTGAGATCTTGCCGTTCCTTGGTTGTTGTCACGTGGTGTTAGCATGCAATACATATAGAGGTAGGAGGTCATAAATCTCCGGATCCTCTTGACGTGGTGCACTTTGTGCTGGATTACTACACGGAGAAGTGAGAGGTCGTAAATATCTGGACACCTTTTAGTGTAGTGCTACGTGGTGGTTACCCGATTGCTGGTCTCCTCCTTGATGTCATGTTATGTGTAAGTTCAAAGAATTTGTCCGATACCTTGGTGTTGCATTTAGTAATGTTTTCTTGCACCGACTCGTGGAAGTGAAACTTGCTGATCTCTCCCTGCTACCACGAGGGTCAGAGTCATCCTTTAGTCGTGAAAGTTGCTACCATCTCGCTTGAATATTTCTAGAACTGAATTATACGTTATCACTGCGCCGTTGATTTATTCTTCCAACACCTTTTCACTGCCGGTTATCTTGTTCAATACGCACACGAAACTGAAAGTGTGTTCCTTCTGTGGTATCCCTGCTAAGAAAGCCTGCTTCTTTCTTTGCGTCCTCACTAAGAGAGAGAGCTTGTTCCATTGCAGCCTTGCTAAGACAGGGAGAGATTCTCGTCGTGTTTGCTTAAATATCTATGCGATAGCCTAGTTTGTGCTGACTATAATGGAAGCGATTGTGCACTTTTTTCGGATGCAATGGCTTTTTTCCGGATGTCCAACGATAGATGGATTTTTATAAAATTATAATGGTTGTGGTTTTCCCAGAAATTATAACAGTTAGGGATTTCCCAGAAATTATAATATTCGAGATATTCTCGGAATCACAAAGAGAATAAAATTTAACTTGAATTGTGAACGAACTTGATTCGTTGTTTGAAAATGTTTAAAGGTAGTTCTTGCCTTATAATATTTCAGTGATTCTATAAAAATATGTACATGTACCTATCTGTATACATATTTATTTGAATAATTTAGCCCTTATTTTTAACTTATTTTGGGTAAAAAATAATTCTTTTTTTTTTAAATATAATATATACATCGACTTATTATTTATAGTCATAAAATAAGATAGTACATTATATTTTTTAATAAAATACATTCAGATATACATATAATTACAGGTTTTAGCATGCCAACGAGCTGAACATGAATTTGCAGGGGTACCATGTGGAATTATGGATCAATTTATTTCTATAATGGGTCTAGAGGGGCACGCACTTTTATTAGATTGTCGTGATTTTATAACTAAGCAAATTCCCATGAGTCAAATGGATAATTACATTTTTATTATCACCAATTCCAATACATCGCATAAACTTACATTAAGCGCATACCACGAGCGCCGTACTAGTTGTTATGCAGCAGCTAAGGTCTTGAATAAAACAAGCCTTAGAGAGGCTAATATCAGGGACATTGAAAGTAGGTTTAAAATATCTGAATAATATTTTGCGGAAAATGTATTATTTCTTTTATACATAAATTAAATACATTTTAACAATAAAAATTAAAATTAACTTAGAAATAAATATAAATATTTAGTTGCTATTTTTTAGGAAAGATCGAGTTGGAATAAAAATTTATTTTGTTAATATTTCATTTTATTTCTAATTTTATATTTTTTTATTTTTTATAAATTTATATTTTTATGTATTTAAACAAGTAATATTTTAGTAATAATGATTGTGCATAATACAAATATATAATTTTTATAATATACAAAAAAAAAATTAATTAGAAATAATTGAATGAATAAAGTTATTAAAAAATCTAATTTTTATATGGTTATTCTAAAAATGAATTTATAATAATGTTTCTTTAAACTAAATTTTAACAGTATTAATAAACTATAATGTTAAATTCAAAACAATAATTCTATGGTTTTTAACGCATTTACATGAAATGAAAACATATTTATAATTCGTTAATTTAATTTGAAGTAATTAAAAACTTTAATGTACATACAAATAATTTAAAAAAAAAATTGAATCAATATACAAATAATTTTAAAAATTTTAGTTTTTATATGAATTAATACATAATAAATTTCTTAAGCACAATGCAATCAGTGGTTTTTATGCTTAGCATTGAAGAACAAAAATGTATCCGACATTATGATAAAAAGAGCACGACACGTGATTACGGAAATTCAGAGAACAATCGAAGCTGCAACTTGCCTTGAAAATAATAACTTCATTAGATTCGGCGAGTTAATGAATGAAAGCCACGACTCTCTGCGCGAGGAGTATGAAGTCTCCTCAAAAGAGCTTGATAATCTAGTGATGATATCCCGTAGTGTGGACGGTGTATTGGGTAGTCGCTTAACTGGTGCAGGCTTTGGTGGATGTACAATAACTTTGGTAAAAAAGAATGCGGTCGATAACTTAATTGCTACGATACAGAAAAAGTTTGTACTTATTACACTTTTCAAATTTTTAATGAATTTTTCTAGTATTTTAAATGTTTCTATATTTCAGAATTGTTCTTTAAATTTTTATTATTTAAGTAAATATAAAATTGAATTCTAGAAGTTCTAGTAATGTTAATTTTTTTAGGAAAGGTAAATAAAGAAAAATGCAGTTATAAGTAGGTACAAAAAGTATTTATTTATATTACTTAAATATTTATTTATTTATATTATTTATTTTATTATTAATTATATAATTATATAAAAGTATATTAATTATTTATTTATATAAAATTCTAATATTTTTCTTTCAAAGAAGTAAAAAATTTTTAATACAATATTCATATATATAATGTTATATTGGTGTTTAATAATAGTGAACACGTATATCATTATTTATTTGGTTGCTAAAATATTTCATAATTACATTTTTACGTATTGCATATTTCAAATGTTTGGAATTCCAACCACTAGTATGATCACAGATCACGGTGGGTGGATTAGACCGTATCACCGGTTTAAAAATGGGGAGGTTAATGCATCAATTCAGAGTAAACACAATTGGTTTTAGTGACCTTTATTTAAGCAGTTGTTACAGTGGTGTTGGTGTTACTGATTATAATGAGAATTGTTGAGTTCCTAGTGATTAGGCAGTTGACAATGAACTGTAGAACGTCGTCCGGGAGTGCAAGTCTAAAGGGTGAATTGGGAGTACTGGGCACGTGCTTTAGTCTCTAAGTTTAAAGGAATCTGTCCGGTTCGAGAATCATTAGATAATTGATTCGGCATTAGTTTTCCAGAGAGCCCTGTCGGCCTGCGACTTTCTTGACGACTAATTCGGCAATAAAATTTACGGCACGTTGTTCGGCGATAGATTTTACGGAGCGTGATTCGGCTCGTGAAGGTAGTGGGGATTATTACGGATTATCGACGCCCTCTTTTGTAGTTTGATCAGAACCAACTCGTTGCGGTGTGAACGATAATATTATCGCTGTGCCACAGTAATAATTTTGCGGGGACCACCAGTCAGTATCGGCGCCCTCTTTAGCGGTCTGATAAGAATCAAGTTGCAAGAGCCTAACCGATAGTGTAGATGGGGCCGCGAATGTAATGAGAATTTGGCGGAGACCACTGGTTAGTGTCGGTGCCTTCTTTAGCGGTCTGATAAGAATCAAGTTGCAGAGGTCTGACCGATAGTGTCTATATGTAAATATAGGTAACATGTCTTTTATATGAAATAATTAATGGATATAATATTAGCAAATATAGTTAATTTTAACAATGAAATATTAATCACTTTAATTATGATATTTATATATGATGCTTAGTATACTTAAATTAATAGTTTATGTATCTATATTGAGAGTGATTAAAGGATTACAATTTACAATTAAACGATCGATCTCGAATGCATTTCTACATTATTTATTCAATTTATGGGGTAAATAGTTTTTTATTTGTTTTTATTTTTATTTTTTAATTTTTTAATTTTTTTTTAATTTTAATTTTATTTAAATATAATTTTTTTATTTGTTCATTAAAAAAGGCCTGTAAACCGATATTATTTAGATAAAGTTTTATATTTTTCTAAAATGTGTGCTCATAAGTAATCAATTCGTTTAAATGATTAAACAACGTTAAATTGTTTAAATTGAACAAGTCTGAGATATAAATATCTATATAGAAAATCCAAATTTTTATAAAAGTTAACGTTACATTGTATTTCATAATTTTTTTTCGCGAAGCAAATTAATAATTAGCTTTTTAATTCACGTTAGTCAGTAAATGATCTTGTTTAAATTAGTAAGATTACAACGTAAATGTAAATAATTTAAAAAATGATGGCGAAAATTATTCTGATATCAATAAATAAATGAAATCAATATACTTCTAAAGTTATTAAAGAATCAATGAGCTTGAAAGTGGCCGCAACAGCTATGATTAAATAGAACATCATTTACCTGAGGTAATTGCAAATTTGTTCGAATATAGAAAATACATTATATAGAATTACAGTTACCCAAATTCTACTCTGACAAATGCAAGAAAATACATAAAAAATTATCACTAGCTATATAGGATACATTAAATAACATGCCAAAAACGTGTAATACATAAAGTCATCACAATTTGTGAAGATACATTAAAACATCGTCAAATGAAAAGAAAATGATGAAATAGTTTTTCGATTGGAAAATTGAGAGAGCATTAAAACTATGTTCCTTCATCATTTTATAAATAATATCAATATAAACGTTGCGTCCTCCAATTTATGAATTATAAATTTATAGTGATTTAGAGATTTGAAAATTTATGCAGTTTTTTACAATCTAAAACATTTATTAATACTTGTATTAAATTTTATTATGTAAAACTCCTTATTATAAATTATTAAAGTATTATGTTAAAATTTTTATTTTTTAATGTAAACATCCTAAATAAAAATGATTAACAATATTGTAGATCAAATCTACGAATTCATTTTTTATAATTTTTTATAATTCATTTCATAAAACGAATTATTTTCTTTCAGATATTCAGGAATCCCCAGTTTCTATGTAGCAAAACCTTCCAATGGCGCTCGACAATTACATCTGTAACTATATTATAAAATATAATTCATTTAATAAAATGGTGATGTAAATTTTCAACGATTTTTATAATTTAATAATAAATATAATAATTAAAATAACAAATTTTATTAATTTTATCATTTTTAGGTGTAATTATTATTTTAATATTTAAAAAAAAAATTGATCATCGAAATTTGTATTACTTCCCTTTATTAGTAGTTGAAAGAATATTTATTTTGATTAAAAACTCAAAGTAACTGTTTAATATTATCATCTTAAAATTTATCATAAACTCTTTAGCGTTCATTAATTGATTTAATTTTGGTATTAAGTATTTGAAATTAATTTTCCATGAGAAATTGATTTAGCTGAAAAAATTATTTATTATAAATAACAGAAATGGACAAAAATAGTTAAACTAAAATAAGAAAAGTATACAAATAATAATGTACATAAAGACTAAAATTTTATATTCAAGTCTCATTATAAAATTATAAAAAAATGTATGGGTACTGAATTTGCTCAATTATAAATTATAGATAAAATATTAATTAACTCATTCATTACTAAATGAAAGTGAAAGAATATATATTTTAATATTATATGATAAAAACTTCATAAAATAAATATACAACAGATAGACATAAATTATGTACAGAATAAATATATTACTCATTACATGCTACATGCAAAGCATATCGGAAAGCTTGCTTAAGTATTCTTTAAAAATATTTTTTTAACTATCTAAGAATAAAAAATAAATAATTACAGAATTCATCTTTTGTATTAGATTGCATATTAAATTACAGAGATTTATCTTATAGTAATTTAGACATTTTTAAATTAAATTGATAACTCAAATAATTTTGAATTCGCTATTATGGTATATGAAAGAAATCGATAAATAAATAAATAAATAAATATATATATATATATATATGTGTGTGTGTGTGTGTGTGTGTGTGTTTGGAATTCTAGCCACCAGAATGATTGTTTTTACCAGTCGTTGTGAGAATCGTTGAGTTCGTCGTGATTCCAGCAGTTGGCCATAAACTATAGAACGTCTTCCGGGATTGAAAGGCAACAATTGGGCTGGTTTACTGGGCATGCTTAATTGTTTTTTATGGGGGAGAGAATCGCAAGAGTCTCGAAGCCATAAGCGCTCTCATCGTCGATGATTAGTGAGAAGATTATCTAACAGTATCGGTGCCCTCTTGCGCGGTCTGATAAGAATCAAGTTGCAGAGGTCTGATCGATAGTGTCGGCGCTGTGCCACAGAAATGATAAACGATATAAATAGTTTGCTGGTGATGCCAGATTATACCGTCGCCCTCAATGGGGTCTGACAAGAATTAAGTTGTGAAGGACGCACCGATAGCTAGTCAGCAATTAATAATAAATAATGTAAACAAATAAGTATACCTTGCACGGATTCCCGTAGACAGACGTATAGAACTTTACTATGTGACTTGCACTATTTCACTGTGATTTACTCAATAAGACTTATTTGCTTCGTCGTGTGTTGCTCCTTATATATGATTTCGTACATTTAGAGTTTATAATTCTTGGAAATTCTGTCAAATTCTCGGAAAGCCAGCTTTAGTAGGTTCGAGAATTTTCCTTTGTCGCTATGCGGATACGGTTCACCGAGAATTTTCGTAGCAAATTCAATATTCAATATTGCGAATTACAATTAATTTAAATTTTATGGAATCATATATTAAACAAAGTAATAAATTCTCATTGCTGGGTACTTCAATCTTCAATAATATATATATAATAACTTCTTCATTAAGCCATCGCATGTTAAATTTGTTTAATAATGCTGTTGCTTTTTTGTATCTTTAATGAAAAGCTTTTTATTAATATTATCACTAAAGAAGCTTGTTTTTTTAATTTGTTTTTTATAAACACAAAACCATCTTATTATTTAAACATTTGAGTATCTATAATTTCTGAATGTGTGATTGAATATACGATCTTAATGTAATTACTGAAAAAAAAATATAAAAAAGAAAATTGAAAATAGTAACCTACAAACTTCGATTAACACCTTATATAGATATTTATTTGACTAATGTTCAATAAACATTTGGAAAACTGTTGTTAGAGGTTAAAGATTTATGAATATAATATATTATAATATATAATGATTTTTTTCGAATTTTTAATATTAACCAAAATAAAATAAAAATTTAAAGAAAAATTAAATACAATTTAATGTAATATAAATCGACCAAATTTTTTTTATGTATATATGATTGATTTGTTACGCTTTTCTCAATGTGAAAAAATAGAGCTAATTTTAACATTCGTAAAAGTAATTATAAGCAAAACGTTGATAATATTTTTACATGATTATTACAAAGTACATTACATCTGTGAAATACAAGAAAAAATATGATTATAAAGAATTTGTCATACAGGATTCGATTTATGACTTTGCAAACGATTTGAAATGAAAACTGAACAAAAATGATCAGTAATAGCGCAAGATAAAGCCATGGATTTTGTACCACTTATAATTAGTGTATACTGCAAGTCAAGGTTTGAGTCGTAGATCTCCAGGTCTTCTTGGTGGAATTGCTACACTGAGAAACGCAATGGCGTAAAACCTTGGCACTTCTTGTATAAAGCCACGCATGGTGCTTTAGGTACGAGTCACCTCTTGATGATAGTATATTGAATTAATACCGCAGCGGATCCCTTGCAGTTGGCACTTGCAGAATTCGCATGCAGAAGGCGCAGAGCGCCGTAGATCAGAATGGGAAAACTGTAGTCTTGCAGGAGACGCATGCAGAAGGCGTAGCGCCTCGTCCGGAGATCAGAATGGGAAGAGTGTAAGGCACCTTGTAGTATAGCGTGGTTTCTCAGTTCATACATCTTCAGCCGTTCGCTGATGCTTTGCCATCATATAATACATATTGCGGCTGGTGGATTCTCATATTCAGTACCGTACGAGGCTGGCGTATACGTGCTTTCAATATTTGGTTTCTCTTTCGATTAAATTCACAGAAATTCATTTTCTTACCTAATTCTGTGGTGATTGCGTTGGTGGTGCGCTTATTTAATATTCACTCTTGAAATATAATTAGCACTTTTGACTGCTTAGCTATGGCGTACATAAATGATTATGAACGATAATGGTTTCACTGTTGGCTTACTGGCTTATTACTACAAAGTCTGGTAGAATTATGTGCGTATACATTATAAAACTGACTGACTGGTATAAGGCGGCGTTTAGTTGCTGTGTAGAGTAATAATTGATAACTGATTGATTGCGAAACTTACAGTGAGCCTACAAAAGGAAACTGAAGTCTTAGTCGTTTCGTGGCGGCTCTGTTGAGATATATAGACTATTCCATAGTGGTGCTGCTAAGGTAAACCGTGGTCCGTGCCAGGCGAGACTGAGAGAATTTCACTAAGAATGAGCTAGCATTGTCGCGTGCGTCCTTTAAATATGCGCACGGCAGATTACTTAGCTGGCAACAATACAAAGGTGTTGCTATGCCGAAAGTCTTGCATGTAGCCAGGATCCAACCTCTAGAATGTTCCAGAATTGTAGGAAAACAAGGTTCTACAAATTTTGTAGAATTCAAACGACATTGCTGTGCGGGAACTAGATAAACATTACAGGATGTTCGCAAGCAAAGGCTTTAAAATCATCGAGAAATTTCGGAGCCAATGTTTACGATCTTGCAAGCTATAACGATTATAAATTTAGGAAACTTAAATTTCTTGTGAAGTGCTCCAATCCTGAATAAATAGTTAAAATCTTATCAAAAGCATTATCATAATTTGTGTAGTTATCACAAAAATAGTTTTAAACAGAATTTTTTTAATATAAAAATCTTGTTCAGAATTGGAACACTTTCCAAGAATTTCAATTCTCGGAAAATTATAATCGAACTAGCTCGCGAAATCTTAAACGTTGATTCCGAAATTTCTTGATTATTCTAAAGCCTTTGCTTGCGAACGTCCTGTAATGTTTATCTAGTCTCTGCATAGCAGTGCCGGTTGGAATTCTTCAACCTTCTAAAGCTTGCTTTCCTAGAATTCTAAATATAAAATTATAGTAAATTAAAGCTATCGAAACATTGGCGGTTCAAGCCAAGAAGTCAAACGCTTTCGAACATAATATAAAGAAATCTTTTAAGTAAGGAACAGTTATTGCTTATTTTATTTATATTTAAACAATTAATACTTTAATTATAGAAGTTTAAATTGAATCGTATTACTCGTATATTTTCTTATTAGTATATTTATATAAAGCACTTGATTTTATTCCAAAGAAAATAAATGAGTCTGTTAACAACATACTTAAAATATTTCTTAGTATTTTTTATCAACTCATAAGAATCATATTCATTGTAGGTTAATGACATATTCTATATGAATGGATCTATAACTGCATTAAAGAAAAATATTATTCATATATATGAAAATGGCCTGTCTTCCATAGCAAAATTACTTTATGTTAGTTGTAACAATCAATAGATTAAATAAAATTATAACGCAATTTATTTTGTACAATGTGATAAAACATCATAGAAATATGTTTTCAGTTTCTTTTTTAATAATCAACAAAATATATAATTGTATAAATTCCAGAAATTTTTTGGAAAACATGATATAAATTGTTCTGATATACCTACATACATATAGAATTATAAAGGTATCTTAAATTATATATTTTAAAAATGATATTTATATTGTAAATAATTTTATGTAAACATTGTATTGAAAATAAATTAATTGTAAAAATATTTGAGTGTATTATACTTTATGTGTAAAAATAAAAAGTTAAGCTTCTATATATAAATATAATATTATGCTTTGTGTTCGCAGGTGTAATTATATTCTATTTCTCGATATTAAATAAAAATAAATATGTAATAGTTCATTAATGTATGAATATTATGTATAAGTAATACGATTGATCTACTACATAAATTTAATTTACTGTGATGCAAAGCTATTATATCAAATTCATTTTATTGTATGTGTATAGACCACAGGAATTGTTCATTTTCGAGTTTAAAGTGTAATATTCGCAAAAAACGATGCTATGACGAATGGA